CGAGGCCGAGGGGACGGAGGCGTCTCGAAACGTGCCCAGGGCCTCTCAGTTCCGTGGTCTGTGCAAGACGCACCGACCACGTGGTCTGTGCAAGACGCACCGACCACGTGGTCTGTGCAAGACGCACCGACCACGTGGTCTGTGCAAGACGCACCGACCACGTGGTCTGTGCAAGACGCACCGACCACGTGGTCTGTGCAAGACGCACAGACCACGTGGTCTGTGCAAAACGCACCGACCACGTGGTCTGTGCAAGACGCACCGACCACGTGGTCTATGCAAGACGCACAGACCACGTGGTCTGTGCAAGACGCACCGACTCAAACTCCCCTTGCCACAACATCTAACATTTAAGATAAAAGCTGTCTCGTTACTTTTAATTTATTTACGTATTTGTATTCACCGCTTACTTTTCTCGTGCTATTCGTTGCGCACGGTTAAACTTTATTTTGCACGTGGGTTGCAATCTACTCCGTCTCAGTCGGCGTTCGCCGCTGAGGTCGTGACGGGTTCTTATTCTCGTTCCTGTCTCTCTGCGCCTCTCCCCCCCCCCCCCCCCCCAGGTACCGCTCCCGTTCTGCGGTAACGTACACTGATGCCTACTCTATCGAGGGCGACATTGGCACACAGAATAAAGATCGATTGATTGAAGCCACAGTCGTGTGATCGTGGCCATGCAACCAAAAACTATGGACCAATATAGCAAACAACGTAGGGGGCCGTGGTCAATTACAGCCAACGTGAGTTGAGCGTGGACAATTAGATCCAAGGCGAAACATAACATATAAAAAAAGATGGTTCAAAATATTTTTTTTTATTTTTTTATTATAGAATATAGTATTGTCATCGGTCATCATAAGCATACCGAGTTTGCAGTCGATACCACATTTGGAAGTTGGTTAAAATTGAGTTACAAAATTTGAGGACACGACAACAACAACAACAACAGACAGAGTGAGTTAAATAAAAGCGTGCAATAATAATTTTAAAAACGACACGAACTCTCTCTCTGCTGAAGCCCTCTCGTCCATGGCCAGCAGCAGACCTCGGCATTTGCATCGAGCTCCTGAACATTGCCGCACGCAAGAGTAGCAGTGTTAATCGTCGATGTAAAGTTCGTTTTTTTCTTCTTCAACCAGGCGACAAATCGAGAGACATGCCCGTGTCCCTTCACGAGACAGAGTGGCATGGCTGAGCCATCCGGATTGCGTCGGCCACTCTGGACGTAGAGCACGATCTGGTGGCTGAGCGGTTGTTGTTTGCGGCAGGGCTGAGTCACGAGATTCGCCGTGACCACCGGGGGTTGAGTAAAAACACGTTTCATTTAGTTTAATAGGCGGTATACAATTATCCACATTACTGCAAAGAGAGATGACGGAGAGATTACAGTTATTGCCTGAACTTGTGCCTCTGAAATTTCAGCGGCGTAGTCAACGGATAAACACTCGCCCACCCTGGCTCCGCTCCACTACGCCGGAGTTGAGATTGCCCGAGCGGCTTATCTGCTTGTCAATAACGCATCTTCTCTGGTGAATATCAATACAATATCAATGGGGCGCCACGTTGGCTAGGAGATGTTAACTACCTCGCCTGGTATGCAGGAGGTCGTGGGTTTGATCCAGACCCTGATGCCTATAAATGTGGAGTTTGCGAGTCTCTCTCCCCCGTGGTCGTGTGGATTTTTCTCCGGCTTCTCCCGAGTTTTCCCTCCACATTTAGAAACATGCTTTTCGAGTGCTGCATTCGGCTGCAAAAATGTCGACATAAGCCACTTCGTTGAATGCAGAAACCTTGTTCAACGGGAAAAATGGGGTTAAGGTCCTGGTATGAGTGAACATGGATTTTTTTTATTTGTAACAATAACTACAATAAATTGTTAAGAACAATGTGTGTTCTACTTACCTTGGATGATCATGATTTGACAACGATGGAGGTGGTTGTGATCGTGAGGAATTCAGTACGAATTCAGGAGGATGACTCCTCAGAAGATGCAATGAGGGAGGAAAGTGCAGACGCACTCTCCTCTAGTGCAGAAGCACTCTCCTCTAGTGCAGAAGAACACTCCTCTAGTGCAGAAGCACTCTCCTCTAGTGCAGAAGAACACTCCTCTAGTGCAGAAGAACACTCCTCTAGTGCAGAAGAACACTCCTCTAGTGCAGAAGAACACTCCTCTAGTGCAGAAGCACTCTCCTCTAGTGCAGAAGAACACTCCTCTAGTGCAGAAGAACACTCCTCTAGTGCAGAAGCACTCTCCTCTAGTGCAGAAGAACACTCCTCTAGTGCAGAAGCACTCTCCTCTAGTGCAGAAGAACACTCCTCTAGTGCAGAAGCACTCTCCTCTAGTGCAGAAGAACACTCCTCTAGTGCAGAAGAACACTCCTCTAGTGCAGAAGAACACTCCTCTAGTGCAGAAGAACACTCCTCTAGTGCAGAAGAACACTCCTCTAGTGCAGAAGCACTCTCCTCTAGTGCAGAAGCACTCTCCTCTAGTGCAGAAGAACACTCCTCTAGTGCAGAAGCACTCTCCTCTAGTGCAGAAGAACACTCCTCTAGTGCAGAAGAACACTCCTCTAGTGCAGAAGCACTCTCCTCTAGTGCAGAAGCACTCTCCTCTAGTGCAGAAGAACACTCCTCTAGTGCAGAAGCACTCTCCTCTAGTGCAGAAGAACACTCCTCTAGTGCAGAAGAACACTCCTCTAGAGCAGAAGCACTCTCCTCTAGTGCAGAAGAACACTCCTCTAGTGCAGAAGAACACTCCTCTAGTGCAGAAGCACTCTCCTCTAGTGCAGAAGAACACTCCTCTAGTGCAGAAGCACTCTCCTCTAGTGCAGAAGAACACTCCTCTAGTGCAGAAGAACACTCCTCTAGTGCAGAACACTCCTCTAGTGCAGAAGCACTCTCCTCTAGTGCAGAAGAACACTCCTCTAGTGCAGAAGAACACTCCTCTAGTGCAGAAGCACTCTCCTCTAGTGCAGAAGAACACTCCTCTAGTGCAGAAGAACACTCCTCTAGTGCAGAAGAACACTCCTATAGTGCAGAAGCACTCTCCTCTAGTGCAGAAGAACACTCCTCTAGTGCAGAAGCACTCTCCTCTAGTGCAGAAGAACACTCCTCTAGTGCAGAAGCACTCTCCTCTAGTGCAGAAGAACACTCCTCTAGTGCAGAAGAACACTCCTCTAGTGCAGAAGAACACTCCTCTAGTGCAGAAGAACACTCCTCTAGTGCAGAAGCACTCTCCTCTAGTGCAGAAGCACTCTCCTCTAGTGCAGAAGAACACTCCTCTAGTGCAGAAGCACTCTCCTCTAGTGCAGAAGAACACTCCTCTAGTGCAGAAGAACACTCCTCTAGTGCAGAAGCACTCTCCTCTAGTGCAGAAGAACACTCCTCTAGAGCAGAAGCACTCTCCTCTAGTGCAGAAGAACACTCCTCTAGTGCAGAAGAACACTCCTCTAGTGCAGAAGCACTCTCCTCTAGTGCAGAAGAACACTCCTCTAGTGCAGAAGAACACTCCTCTAGTGCAGAACACTCCTCTAGTGCAGAAGCACTCTCCTCTAGTGCAGAAGAACACTCCTCTAGTGCAGAAGAACACTCCTCTAGTGCAGAAGCACTCTCCTCTAGTGCAGAAGAACACACCTCTAGTGCAGAAGAACACTCCTCTAGTGCAGAAGAACACTCCTCTAGTGCAGAAGAACACTCCTCTAGTGCAGAAGAACACTCCTCTAGTGCAGAAGAACACTCCTCTAGTGCAGAAGAACACTCCTCTAGTGCAGAACACTCCTCTAGTGCAGAAGCACTCTCCTCTAGTGCAGAAGAGCACTCCTCTAGTGCAGAAGAACACTCCTCTAGTGCAGAAGCACTCTCCTTTAGTGCAGAAGCACTCTCCTCTAGTGCAGAAGAACACTCCTCTAGTGCAGAAGAACACTCCTCTAGTGCAGAAGAACACTCCTCTAGTGCAGAAGAACACTCCTCTAGTGCAGAAGAACACTCCTCTAGTGCAGAACACTCCTCTAGTGCAGAAGCACTCTCCTCTAGTGCAGAAGAGCACTCCTCTAGTGCAGAAGAACACTCCTCTAGTGCAGAACACTCCTCTAGTGCAGAACACTCCTCTAGTGCAGAAGCACTCTCCTCTAGTGCAGAAGAGCACTCCTCTAGTGCAGAAGAACACTCCTCTAGTGCAGAAGCACTCTCCTCTAGTGCAGACGCACTCTCCTCTCCCAGTGGATGCTTGGGAGTCATGATTAAGGGCAATTAACAAGCAAGTAGAGTACTGTAAAGTACAGTACGTGTCAAGTACTTGTCGGTGGTCTGGCGCTACTTACACTCGCGAATACCGGAGTCCAGCAGGTCGCGAATAGGGAATTGGTACACATTGAGTAACTCGCGAAAATGCGAAACTCGCGAATCCAGAACTCACGAATAACGGGGGTTGGCTGTATAGCTCAGCGCGCCTTACCTGGTAAAATAAAATAAAACGTTTCGTTTTATATAGGAAGTTTTGGAATTTCAAGGTTTCAGGGCGATATGCCCCAAGCCCACCCTCCCTCACGCGACTGGATGCTCACCAGGAACACGTCCCCCGGGAGTTTGCGCAAGGCTTAACGAGGATACATCTGGGACCGAGACCCATTTGATACTGGCAAAAAAGAGACCCATTTTGTAGCTGCTCACCCCGAGATAGATATAAATGTGCTGACAGTGGCATTATCCTTGTGCTGGTCGTCTTTTGACGTTTTATTGTCTGACACTGGCAGAACTAGGCCCTAAGGAAGGTTGTCTCTGGTGCAGGACAATCACTTTCTAAGACAATGCCCCATATATTGTCAGAGCATGTTTTTGTTTGCATGTTCACCACAAGTTTGCGTGGTTAATGCAGCAACTTGATGCCTTGCAAAAAATTTTCCATTTGGTGTTTGAACGCCTTCACACCTCCGGTTTTATTGTCAGAAAGGGTAAAACCCATTCTTAATGTTTCACCTGTCGTCTTTGTGTCCGCGTGTCAGTGAGCGCGAGTCGAGGAGCAACTAGGACCTGTCCCTAGCCACCTCTCCCTCCATCCGTCCGTCCGTCCCGGAGGGGGAGCGGCGAAGGTCGCTTAGCTCATGGGCGTCACAGGCATGCAGGTGCTCGGGGCCTCGCTGGCCTTCGTGGGCCTCGTGGGGGTCATCGTGTGCACGGCGTCCAACGAATGGCGCATCACGAGCCGTGCCAAGTCGCTCATGACGGCCTCCTGGGTATCGCACGGCCTCTGGAAGCAGTGCACGGCCAACGCGATGGGAAGCATGCAGTGCAAGCCCAACTTCACCATGCTCGACCTGGACGGTGAGTGCCCAACGGAGCGACGGACGGACGGTCAGCGGCGGAGACAGGCGCGTTTCGCAAACATGATTTGGAACTTTGATCCAAATGGGACCTTTTTTTTTTTAGCCAGCTTCAAAGTACCGTAGCGTTCGCATTTTGGCGTTCTCTGGTCTGCCACCGGTGATACTAGGGCTTCAAGAAGGCTGTCTCTGCTGTAGACCAATCGGTTTCAAGGACAATGCCATCTTTAATTATCAGAGCGTGTTTGTGTTTGCATGTTCACCACAAGTACTGTACGTGGTTGACGCAACAACTTGATTCCTTGCAAAATGTTTATATTTGGTGTTTGAACATAGGTACACAAATCCTGTTTTCTTTCCAAAAAAGGGTAAAACCAATTCTTATGTTTTAAAACTTTGATCCTTACCCTCAAACTGTGTATCGATAGTTCAACCTTAATGTGTCATTCTATTGAGGGACTACTGGGTGTTGTTGTTGTCTTGTTGTGGTCTGGTATTGTTGTTGTTTTTCTGCCTTGCCCAAGCTTGCTTTTGATGTTGCTAAATCGGCAGGAATTTATTTACTTATGCAATTCATAGCTTTTTGTATTTCGTGAGTTTTTTAACTTTCCTATACTTTGCACTCCTATCGCGTTGTTGTGCTGTTTATTGTTGTAACTTTCTGACCCGCTCCTACTGGACATCTGTGAAAAAGAGCTTTACAGCTCATCGGATTCCTCCTGCAGGCAAAACAAAAATTAAGATTCTGATTAAAGTGAAAAAGGTCACAATGATATCCTGCTGCTGCTGATCGCATTGGCATCGAGGCATTGGTACTCACCTTCTGTTTATAGCCTTCAGCCAGTGTTGGAGACTCCACATTCCTATGGCGGGGATGAGTCCATCCAAAGACGACCCACTGTTGACTTCCTCACAAAGTGGTGCTCATTGCTTGGACGCTGGAGGGAGGGAGGCAGTGAGGGAGGGAGGGAGGGCCGAGTCACCCACACCCCCCCTCCAAAAGCAGCACTCAAGTTGAAGCCCGTTTTCATTAAATTTGGTGACAACGGTGATGATTAGACGAGAGAGAGAGAGAGCACTGCCAGCGAGATGCAACATTGTGAGGAGTACCGTGGGTAGGGACGTGGGGTCACGGTGTGGGCCAGGGTGGACAGCCAACGGTCCCGGCAGGCGACTTTACTTTCCGCTTGAAACACGGCCACAGACGGACACGGAGGGAATTTTATTCAGTCGCGCCCAAGCGTCTTAGCCACACCCTAGTTTGGGCACTAAAGGGGAATATCTTTGAACTGGCAATCCTCGGGTTTCCCAGATGTTCCACTGCACACCGAACGCAGACACATTTCTCAGTCAGCCGAGGTCGACCAACACCGCGCAACAATCCCGCAATGAGATTCAACACGACAATACCGGTACCCGATCTCGGCACGAATCAACTCCCGCCACTCTCCCCCGCCGACCCGCTGTTTCCCCCATCCCACCCCTCCCCGACCCGCGTGCAGTGTACATCCGCGCGTGCCAGGGCCTCATGGTCTCGTCGGTGGTGATCGGTGGCCTGGCCGCACTCTGCACCCTCTTCGGCATGAAGTGCACTCACGTCGGCCCCTTGACTGCCAAGTCCAAGGCGCACATGTCTATCTTCAGCGGCACTGCCTACATGCTGTCAGGCACGCTCGCTCGCTCGCACGCGCGCGCACCCACGCACGCACAAAGACACAGGTCCACCGTATAGCCTTTAACACGCTTGTTGGGGCAAGTGCTGTTGGTTGGCGAGCACCTATTAAGGCTGGCACGGAACTCGAGGGGCGTGGGCGGTCAGCGCGGTCGGCTACGTATGGTTCAGCATACGTGCATGTGGGAGGCCCAGGACCGGTTCAAATATTCATGGCTGATGTTGGTGGTGAGCGGGAATTGCACTCGGGTAGCAAACGTGCGTAGCACAGCGATCTGACCACTCCACTACCGCTCCCCACAACCGCGCGAACCACCGCGCGTGCGTACGCGTTAACGCGTACACGCGCGCGTGGGAAAGGGGATGCCAGCCAAACACTCCAACCCACTCTGCTCCGCCTGTTTACTTAACAATTTCGATTTAATTCTAGATTTTGAAGTTTTCGTGACTGCAAGGATCCATATTCTTTGGTTCTATCGGTAATTTAATTTATTTGATTTTTTATTATTTTTTCCACCTACGTGACCACGTGTTCCGCTGGGATTCCGTGATATCTTCAAAACACTGAGCGCAATGGCTGTACACGCGACCTTTGCTTTCGCTCACATGTGTGGTGGTTTCTAATCATGCGCGCGACAAGACTGGGAGGCAACACGTTTCATTCTCAACCGACACTATTCAACGTTCCACGGTTAACTATGTACATTCCGAGCAACTATGCACTTTACAGGTTAACTACTACGTAAGGCGGTGGCCATCGTTCCTCACCACCTAAGGAGCCGTCCATAAATGACGTCACGCAGCTGGGGGGGGGGGGGGAGTCAAATGTTCGACTTAATTAAATAAACTTTTTAATAAATGTTTTCTCCTACAGCATCAGAGTGCAGCGCTCCACATTAAATACACAACTACAATGACAATAGTTTAAAGCGATTTGAAGCACGTTTTATTTTCAAAATGGAAATATGGTTTTTTGGGGGGGGTGGGGGCAGAGCTTTGTGACGTCATATTTGAGGGGAGGGGGGTCTGACTTTTAACCACTTGATGGGATGCCCTATGTGGTTGAACCAGAACAGCCGACACGCCGTCGTGTCGTCGCGTACGGAGACTGAAGAGCAGGGGTCGAAGCCGACGAATTCTTTCCCGCTCCCCCTCGGGGCTCGGCTTTTATCTCCTGTGGCGTGACCAGGCTCCGCCCCCCCCCCTTCTCGATCCTTCGCGATGAGTCTGGGTCCACATCACGTGGCCCGCTCACCCCCTTCTGCCCCCCCCCTCCGTGCCCCCTCGTCCGGTCACGTGCTCTCGCGGGTTCACCCAGACTGTCGTGTCCTGACCCGACCTCCGTGACACCCGGAATCTGCCCTCTAGTGAGCCCCTTGTGTATAGTGCACCCACTGTCTCCATAGAACGGCCCAATTACGTCGCTACACATTCATCCTGAGCCCACCTCTGCAGCGAGTGGGCTCGGACAGCACGCTCCACTAGAAGGGGACGACGGTGGCTGGGGGGTCGAGACTCAAGATGGAATTGGCTGCTAAAGGAGAGGGAGAGGGGGGGATGCACGCCCAAGAGGGCGTCCACCACGGAGGTGGAGTCACGAAATCAGCCCTCGTTCCCGTCGCTCTACGGCAGGGGTGGGCAAATTTTTTTGACTCGCGGGCCACAATGGGTTCTAAAATTTGACAGAGGGGCCGGGCCAGGAACAGATGGATGGAGCGTTTGCGTGAACTAATATAAATGACGTGTTAAAAATCATTACATGAAAGGATTTGGCCCTTTAACAGGTAGCGAAGCATTTAATTGCAAGGCAATTTAACAAATTGCACGAACATGAACAATACAAAAACATGTCGTGACTCCCGGTCAAAGTGCGCCATCTAATGGGGAAATGTGGGCATTACAGGGGAAAGGTAAAATTTAATTTAATTTAATAATAATATTTGGACAAGTTCGGCAGGCCGGATTAAAAAGCCCAAAGCTGCACTTTGCCCGTGTCTGGTCTACGGTTTCGTTACGTCACAGGTGACGGCTCGTTGAGGCCCTCATTCGGCAATGGATTGATCATGGCCGGCAATGAAATAAACCAAACGTGGGTCTGTTTCACTACAAACAAACAAAATATATATATACAATTAATTACAATCCGTCGGGTTATTGTCATTCTGGACCAGTGTTCTCCAGCAGGCATTTGCATTAGCAGACAAAATGTGTTACAAGTTTAAAGAACATTCCCGAGCCTTAACAGAGCACGTGGCCTGCTACATGCAGCTGCCTGTCGATAGCAGCAAGAGGCCTCCTCCACCAACGATCCGCGTCTCATCAGCCAAAAAACAGAATGTAAAGTAATTATTGATTTTTAGATACATCATTTATTTAATTTTATTCTTTTTTATACACTTTATTTTTCATTATTATTTTTCTTCTTCTATCTACGTGACTTCGCCGAAAGAACCAAAGAATATGAATTTGCAATTGTTTTGTTTTGCTATAACTCTCCACCGCCGGACGGAGGCAAATCCAATGAAATCATCACATGGTGCGAAAATTCTCCGATTTGATTTCTTTTTGTTCGGCAAAAAATCCGGATGAAAGTTGAAACGCGAGCGCAACCTTTTTGGCAATTCATCTGCACGCGACGTTCCGCTGGAGGTCACAGCCAGCGTCACACGGGAAGGCGTTCGACAAAAAAAAAAAAGCTGTGGCTCAACAAACGAGGGCAGAGCTTTTTTTGTCAACACGATGTTGCTCGTGATAAGCCCGTGTCTACTATTCTGGGTCATGAATATTAAACGCGACAGGGTCTAAATAAGTGAGTTTTCATAGCTCCGGTGGCTTCCTCATATCGGGAGGTGAAGAGCGTTCCAGACGGCCGCAGAAGCGCGTCTGAAAGCGCGCGATGCGGTTGACCCCCTTTGCTCGATGGCCAGCCAAAAAGCCGCTGCTGCTGCTGCTGCGAGGATGACCACCGCTAGTTCACGTGATGATGGTTTATCATCCTTGACGGGATCAGCGAGGTAGTGTGGTTCACTTGAACATTATAGCGAGACCCGTAAGCCCCCCCCCCCCCCCCCCGGCTCTCGCATAAACTGCGTTGCGACGTCATTTTATGTCTGCCGAAGGCGAACGACACGGCGATCTGTTCCCCTCGGCGAGCTCTACGCGATGCGCTCGTCGAAGTTTCAAAGTTTTGTTTTCTTCTGCGTGTCGCGTCCTCGCTGCTGCGCTTGGACGCGGCGTTTGTGTGCGCGGTTTGGACGGGAGACCAACCCCTCGTGCGCGTTCATCAACTTATCAGATAAAAGCAGAAACGTGCGAAACACAAGCGCCACAAGGAAACTTCCCGTTGACTTTGCTCACGAGTCGTGATTGAACGTTAATTCGCCCCACCCCCCTCCCATGGCGAAATCTGTTCGCGTTACCGAGTGATCTTATTGTTGTGATCGCGATTTTTACCGTGATGGTTGTTTCCATTGCCCCCACTCCCCCCGCCCCAACTTGCCTCTCCCTGAGCAGGGGCGGCTGCCGTCACGGCCGTGTCCTACTACGCGCACGCCGTCACCATCGACTTCTATGACCCCTATCTCATCGGAGCCAAGTGAGCGAATTTGCACGCTCGTTCATCTTCCGCAAACGCTGCTGCTGCTGCTACTGCTGTCGCCGCTGGCACATATTTGTCCCCACCCCCCCCCCCCCGAAGGACTCAGCGACCTCGGGATGCAGGCATTCTCTGTGCGCTTCCACGCCGATGCTTCGGTCGATGGGCGACCGAGCTGTTCCCCGTGTGACCCCCCGCCCACCACCCCCGCCAAACTAAACTTAAAACTAAATAAGTAATATTTGGCAGAATTCCACGACTCCAGGAAGTGGGCCCGAAGCTTGCCACAACGTAAGGGGACCGTGGCCAATGACAGCCAACGTCAGTTGAGCGTGGACAATTAGACCCAAGCCGAAACATAACATATAAAAAATAATGTTAAAAAAATTTTTATGATAGAATTTAGTATTGTCATCAGTATGACATAAGTACACCAAGTTTTCAGTCGATACCACATTGGGAAGTGGGTTAAAATTGAGTTACAAGATTTGAGGATACAACAACAACAACGACAACAACAACAGACAGTGAAATTTTGATTTAAAGCTTTCGTGACTGCAAGGATTCATATTCTTGGTTCTTTCGGTTAAGTCACCAAGTAGAAGGGAAACAATAAAATAATAAACATATAAAAGAATAAAATTCTCACGACGTTTCGACTGCAACACAAGCAATCATCATCAGGTGTGAAAACCACAGCAAGAAAATTTGAAAAAAAATGATTGCTTGTGTTGCAGTCGAAACGTCGTGAGAATTGTATTATTTTATATTTTTATTATTTTATTGTTTCCCTTCTACGTGACTTTACCGAAAGAACCAAGAATATAACAGACAGAGTGAGTTAAAAATAAAGCGTGTAATAATAAAACAATACATGTATTTTACCAGGTAACGCCCACGGAGCAATGTAGCTCTTTTTCAGCTGCGACCTGGCCACAAATGATCGCTCAACGAAGTGGCGTATCAGCATGTGGAAATTTACAGCAACCAAATGCCTTAAACGCGTGATGTCGATTCAAAATGTGGAGGTAAAACCAAGAGGACCCACAGAAAAATCTACACAACCACCGGGAGAACAGGCAAAGTCCAAATATAGAGCAGGCGTCAGGGTCTGGATCGAATCCACGACCTCTGGAATGCTTTCTCCCTCCGTGTCATATTGTTTCGTTTCATAAGTTATCGTTAAGCCGAGTGCCTGCCGCTCGGTTTAGTGCAGCACCTTTGAGACCCTTGATGAAAGGTGGTGTTTTTTTTAAAGATGTTTTTCTTGTTCGTGTTTTTTTTGTTTGTTTGTTGTGGTTGCACCCGATTCAAGAGCCGAATGGCTCACAGAGCTATACCAAAATAAACTGAACTGAACTGGTATATAAATATACAAACATCTCCCCGTATAGCACACGCAGGCTGCTGGGGTAAGCGGCCCTAGCGTTTGGTACATTCCCTTCACGTACACCAATCTATCCTTAGGCTGCTGCCATTTGGGCTTGTTCGCAATATTTGCGAACGGAGGTTTCGTTTATTAACGCATCAACAGCCGTAGCCTTTCCTCTTTGTCGTTTAAGGCTTCACCACGTCATGAAAAAAAATCAGCTTCCAACAACAAGCCAGCCTAGGTTCCCTGGCTTGCCTTTCTCCCTGTGATTCCCAGGGTGCACCGGTGATTCTGTTACTAAAAAATCAACACAATTCAAAGTGATTTACCGCTCAAATTAGCGCGCGGAGACTGGTGCTCCATCTCGCGTTTACATCCCTGAGCCGGCCTCGGAGATTCCACATCCCTAAATTTCGTTGGGGTCACGATGCGCCGGTGAAGGTGGTCGCCCTGGACGTGTGGTGAGGTGGGTCCCTGTGTGTCTATCCGCAGGTGGGGAGCGGTAACCTGAGTTCAATTCCCTCTCGGGGCCAACACCAGCGAAAATTATCTGAAACGGTCCTTCGGCCTCCCATAGGTGGACTCGGCCTCAAATGAGTACCCACTAGGGAGACAAAGGCGGCCGGGCGTGGGTCTGGCCACCCACCCCCTCGTGTGCCGTGCCGACCTTCGTAGGTGCTCCTCGCTAACGGCGCTTGCCAACAGCCTGTTACAGGCTACACGTGGTGAGGCTGGAACTCTGTCTGTGTGTCCGCAGGTATGAGTACGGCTCTGGTCTCTACGTCGGGTGGGCCGGTTCGTGCCTCGTGCTGCTGGGCGGTGGCCTCCTCCTATGCGCCGCGTGCAGGCAACAGCGGGAATCCTCCACGGCGCAGCCCTACCACACGACCCCTCGCGTCTTCCAGTGAGAATCGCGCGCAGTCACCCCCCCCCCACCCCCCACCCCACCCCCCCAGCGCACAAGCTTCAATTGGGGGGCATTGTCCATCGATCTGCAGGGGGCTCGCGGCCCTACGCGAGCGTCGAGGTTGAGCGCTCGCGGCGTTCCGTTTGTTCACGACTCCCGAGCTCCCCGGCGGACAGGGAATTCCCGCGTTCGCCATCAGCGGGCGCGTTGGGGGCGATCGACAGGAGGACAACCACTGTCGTCTCACCCCCACGAAGTGGCACGCGTTTATTAATCGACTCTGGACGGCGGGATGACGGGCTGAGTCTACGCCCTCCAACCCAGGGAACCGCGGCGGTCTCGACTTGCGCCGCATGGCTCACAGCGCTGAGCCTAATGAGCCGAACCGTGGTCGTGCTTTTCTGCACTGGCTCTTGGCTGTGTCTAGTCGAGTGCAATGCACGATCACGTGGCTCGTATTTAAGGCCTTTGTGAGGGCTTGTTGCACTTTGTATTCAGGAGGGAATTCAATCCTGGCAGGGTTCCTTCATTAAGATCTGCCGATTGTGCTCTTCTATGCGTACTTTGATCTTAGATGCCTTCTAGGGGTGGGGGGTGGGGGGGTGATTGGATGTCTACTGTGGTGTGACCCCCACTGGGAGTGGAACTCCCCCTGGTGATCCCCCCCCCTCCACTCGGTAGTCCAGGAGAGCTGTGGTGGTCTGGCTCCTACTTGATTTGGTCTGGCTTCCTGTCGGAGAGCAGTGACACCTTTCAACCGAACCAGTTTTAAAATACTCTTGGTTCTTTCGGAAAAGTCACCACCATGTAGAAGGGAAACACTAAAATAATAAAAAGATAAAACAACAAAATTCTCACGACGTTTCGACTGCGACACAAGTAATCAGCGGATCGCTCCGATTTATCAACGAGTCATTTGCACCTACAAGGTCGGGCGCCGTTCACGAAACGTCCCCATTGTGCCACGCACGAAAGAAGAACGGTATCCAAGCGACCGGGTGGCAGTCGAAACGTCGTGAGCATTTTATTGTTTTATATTTTATTTTATGTTATTGTTTCCCTTCTACGTGGTGGTGACTTTACCGAAAGAACCAAGAATATGAATCCCTGTGGTCACGAAAGCTTTAAATCAGTTTTAAAAAAAAAATCGATTTAAAGCTTTCGTGACTGCAGGGATTCATCCTCTTGGTCCTTTCGGCAAAGTCACGCAGAAGGGAAACAATAAAATAATAAAAATAAAACATGATGAAAATAAAATAAAAGTTTTAAAAGTGTTCATCCGAATTCGTTGTGTTCCTCTTGGCCCTCTTAATCTGCCACCCGGTCGCTTGGATGCCGTTCCTCTTTCGTGCTTGGCGCCATGGGGACGCTTCGTGAACGGCGCCCACCCTCGTCGGTGCAAAATGACTCGTTGGTAAATCGGAGCGATCCGCCGGCTTTCGTCGTTCGCGCAAACCCCGACCGGCACGCTGACGCCCCGTGGCGCCGTGCGCTCTGCAGGACGTGCGGCGACGGCCGCGCGGGCCTGCGCGTCGTGGAGGGGCCGCCGCCGCCGCCGCCTGGGCGCTCCGCCAGGGGCACGCGCCCCGCAGGGAGGAGCGCCGGCATCTCCGGCGTGCCGGGCTCCGACCGCTCGTCCGTGAGCAGCAGCGGAGTTCGCGGGCTCCACCACCCCAAGAGCGCGTACGTGTGAGCGAGCGCCTGCCCGTACGTGCGAGCGAGCGCCTGCCTGCCGGCCCGCCCGCCCGCCCGCCCGCCAGAGATCTGCCACCTCCGTCGCCGCTCGACTTTCACCGCGGACCGACTCACGACTCCGGTGCACGACGCCGAACAATCACGGGCGCCGTCGTGGGGAACGCGAACAGCGGCATGTTACGGTGATGTATATAGTACAGCACGGCATCGTTGCGTGGTGCGTTGTTGTTGTTGTTGTTGTTTTTTTAAATATTCTATTGCACAAGTAGCAACCGTAGCTCTCGAAGAGCATGTATTAATGCTATTGATATTCTTACGTAGAAAAATATGGAATTGAATGAATTGAAAGATGCTTCATGGACATAGAATTCCGTGAAGTTTTCTCGACGCCGACTTGAACGACAGCGAAATGTGGTTTGCCGTGAGAGGTCTCTGCTAGGGTGCACAGTTAGTCGGTAAGTAAACGTGGTCACTATATTCAGTCGGTACACATGAAACGTCGCAGCCGCTGCTGTTCTCCCCTTCCACGGCTGATGCACTGCCACTGCCCTCGTGCTGGGCAGCCGTCGGCGTGAGACCGACCGGCAGTGGCACGGCATTGGGAGCGCGGCCGCCGCAGGTCTCGCTCGCCCCAACTGGTCGCTTGCCAGTGGAGGTTTCTGCACGAATCCTATCGCATGCCCCACGCCCAAGAGCCGCACGAGGTTTTTTTCTTTCCCCCCCCCCGCGAGGAATCGTCGGGGATTTGACAGAGCGGCCCCCCCCCCTCCCCCCCCGGATGACCCAAGGGGATCTTGCGCCAAATGCGTGTGACTGAGGGCTCTGCCAGGCGGCAACGGCGGCGGTGGTGGTGGTGGCGGTGTTGGTGGTGGTGGCGGTGGTGATGGTGGTGGTTGCGGTGGTGGTGGTGGCGGTGGTGGTGGCGGTGGTGGCGGTGGTTGCGGTGGTGGCGGTGGCGGTGGTGGCGGTGGTGGTGGTGGCGGTGGTGGTGGCAGTGGTGGTGGTGGTGGCGGTGATGGCGGTGGTGGTGGCGGCGGTGGTGGTGGCGGCGGTGGTGGTGGTGGTGGCGGCGGTGGCGGCGGTGGTGGTGGTGGTGGTGGTGGCGGTGGTGGCGGTGGTGGTGGTGGTGGCGGCGGTGGCGGCGGTGGTGGCGGTGGTGGTGGCGGCGGTGGTGGCGGTGGTGGCGGTGGTGGTGGCGGTGGTGGCGGTGGCGGCGGTGGTGGTGGTTGCGGTGGTGGCGGTGGTGGCGGTGGTGGTGGTGGCGGTGGTGGTGGTGGTGGTGGTGGCGGTGGTGGCGGTGGTGGTGGCGGTGGTGGTGGTGGCGGTGGTGGCGGTGGTGGTTGCGGTGGTGGCGGTGGTGGTGGTGGTGGTTGCGGTGGTGGCGGTGGCGGTGGTGGTAGTGGTGGTGGCGGTGGTGGCTATGCCGCTGCACGTGGCTGCCTGTGACACAGCACTGTGGAGGCAGCAGCAGCAGCAGCAGCGAGGGTTGGTGAACCACCGCACACGGATGTTGCATGACGCCCGTCAACGCGGCCGTCGAGGATGTCCCTGTACCCCGGCTCTGCCGGGAGATGGCAGCAGAGCAACAATGGTGACTCTACCCGTTCCGTCTCCATGGGATAGAGTGTTCTCCCCTTGCACGTGTGGGTTTTCTCCGGGTGCCCTGGTTTCTTCCGACATGTGAACACTCGTTAATTTGGTCACTAACAACCTTCATATATCAGTGGACCGCACAGCTTGGGGCAATTGTCGCCGCCGGCTCATTGCGTGGCTGCTGCCTTCCCGCTCCGGCTGTGGTTCCTCCTCGTGCCTCTGAGTCGTTCCCTCTCCGCTAAAGTGAGCGACTGCCGCGTGGTGGCGTGCGCCGCAACGTGGCGTGACGTCAACAATGCAGTCTGTTCTCCTATGACGCGGTAGTTGCATTCCTGAAGAACACCGCGTTGTGGAAGAATCGGGTAATAAATGATATACAGTACTAGCGGTAACTACCCGGCTTCGCCCGGGACTTGGATTCACCACGCCCGGCCGCCTTTGTCTCCCCAGTGGCGATGTTCACACACCACGGCAGTTAGTGGTTTGAGGCTGAGTCGACCTAGGGGAGGCCCAGGACCGGTAAAAATAATCGTCACCGGCGGTGGCCGTGAGCGGGAATCGAACTCGGGTCGCCGGGTTTGTAGCGCAGCGCACTAACCGCTACACTACAATCGTTACGCTTGCACACAGACACACACAGACACACAAACAGACACACATACACAGCGCACTAACCGCTACACTACAATCGTTACGCTTGCACACAGACACACACAGACACACAAACAGACACACATACACAGCGCGCTAACCACTACACTACAATGCGTTACGCTTCCACATGGGCAGGTCACGTGACAGATTTGACGTCACATTTCACTGCCGTGCAAAACATAAATGCATTATTGAGCTCCCCCCCCCCAATAAATCCCAAAAGTGTATTTTCATATTTTTTTCCTGGTGTACAGTCTGGAAAGTACCCACATGGCAAATCTCAAGTTTGTTGCATGTCGGGAAGTACGCTAAACATTTTGAACAGACACGCATATTCACAACTTTGCCTTTAATATATATGTGGAGATAGGATAAAAATCACAGATCACACGTGAGATGCGTACTCAGGCTGAACACAAACCGGGCAGCACCTAGAAGCATCCAGCAGCATCCCGCCTTGTGTGATGCTTCGCCGAGGCTGCCGTACGACCGCTTATTCCTACTCGCGAAATTCAATTCCGTTCACTCAACCTTGATTTGTAGCGTTCGTGACTGCAGGAATCCATACTCTTTGGTTCTTTCGGTAAAGTCATCACGTAGGTAGAAAAATAAAATAAATCGCGACGTTTCGGGCGCAACACAAGCGCCCGTCATCGCGTTATATCCAATTGGCGTTGTGAAAAAAAAACGCGCGACGTTATAGGGGAACAGACTGTACGTGGACTCTGCCGCAACCGGCGTTATTCCCGATGAGCAGCGCATTAGAGGCCTTGCCCTCGTGACCACGTGGATCTTCGTGCCCAGCACGGTGGCAGTTTTCAATCGCACCACGCGTCTCTGGGCCACGATGAGAGTCGATCTGTGCTGGAAGCAACTCCTCCTCGTCCTCCCCCCCGTCCCATGTCTCGTACCGTCACTCAACAGCAATCCCTCGCTCACCGCGGGGGGATTTAGGTTCCTGGAAAAGGCCGCGGAAGGCAAATCCGGGGTTAGTAAAGTTCGGTGAACCCCAGCCACGGTCAGACTGCCAACTAAGTTGCCTGTTTATTAACTAAGAATACGGTACAATAAAATATAGTACATTACACAATAGCAGTACAGCAAAACCTTGGATTGCGAGTAACTTGGTCTGCGAGTGTTTTGCAAAACGAGCAAAAACGTTAAGTAAATATTAATTTGATAAACGAGCGAATGTCTTGCAATACGAGTAGTACGTATACGATTTGTCTGCCGAGCGTCACGTGATCACAACTGATACACGAGTGCTTTGATATACGAGTGCTTTGATATACAAGTGCTTTGATATACAAGTGCTTTGGATTACAAGCACGTTTCCGGAACGAATTCTGCTCGCAATTCAAGGTTTTACTGTATAACAAATAAAAATTACATTAACTTTACATATCTTTGGTATTAACGATGATGATAATGAGATGAGTGGGCAGGCGTGCATGTACGTCATCGGAATGTAATTGGAAGAAAAACAAAATAAATAAACTTTTATCCTACCGATAAAGTCAGAAGATGTACCGAGGCTCCCACAAGGCCATGCGGGAGGGCACGTGGCACAGTTTGGCGCCAGCTGTCGTGTCGCTACGGTTCTCTGCGGTGAGTTACAATGTCTTTTTAAAAAAACAAGAACGGCACCACGCCTCTCTAAATAAAATTCATGCTGAACCGCTTACGCGCTCCGAGATTCAGCGGTGAAAGAGACACCACCCACCCTGTGCAAGCAAATTGCGGGCGTCTCGGAGCGGGAACGGGTTAACGTGAATGCGGTTGCGACTTGATGCAGACTCCGAGAATGACGATGTCGCTGCTCCACAACAAAAGAGACGGACGCCTGCTGAGCTTCGCACGCGCCACGAGGTGACCACGGGTGGCGCTGTGGCGCCCACGAGAACCGCTGCCCAGCGACGTTTTGTAAAAGCGGGAGTTTGATTTCGTTTGCAAAAGGTTTCTGTTTGGTGTTTGAACAATCTCAACACAGCTGTTTCATTGACGGAAAGGGTAAAACCTATTTTGAGTTCTTCATACTTGTGATGATAGTAATAATAGGTGTCTCGATTTAAAGCTTTCGTGATTGCAATGATTCATCTTCTTTGGTTCTTTCGGTAAAGTCACGTAGAATGAGAATATTATTGTGTTATTTTATTTTATCAATTTATTATTTTATTCTCATTCTACGTGACTTTACCGAAAGAACCAAAGAAGATAATAATAGGTGGTTTACCATTTTTTTTCTGGCAACAAAACCGAAACCTTTTTTTTTTACGAGGAATCGTGTTCACATTAACCGCGATACCTGCAGACAGAACGCAAACAACAACAAAAAAACACGCTCTGATAATGTATGTGGCATTGTCCTTGAAATTGATTGGTCCACACCAGAGACGGCTTTCTTTAGAGCCTCGTCTCAGGTGGCGCATTCTGGCCGCAGGTATTGTGGTTAATGTGAACATGATTCCTCGTAAAAAAAAAAGGTTTCGGTTTTGTTGCCAAGAAAAAAATGGTAAAACACCTATTATTACATTTTGCTACTGGCAAAAAAGGAGGCCTCATGATTTTTCATACTCGTCAATGTGTGTTGCGGACCCCGTTCTTACCCATGTGGATGCTCACATTTCCAGGCCACGATTGGTAAAATCGGTATACGAATAACAGAGTGTGTGTGTGCATGGATCCGCTGTTGGCAAGTTCGTCTTTGGTGATAGACTGCAATATGTTGAACTTCTTTCGCACCGTATGTAG